GGGGGGGGGGATTCAAACCCAAGTCCTGTCATAACTTGTCACTTCAGAAACTTTCTTAAAGGGCTGAACAATCTCCCCGTCATTAACGATTCAAGACACAAAGATTCTCTCTAATTTAACATCTCGTGTAAACATCCACTCACATTTCAGTCTTTTAATCTTTGCTGATTAGCAAATAAACAGCTATAAGTCCAGGCCATAAACGGCCAAAGAGGAATTTCAACATATCTGACTAACCAGCTAGTCCACACCAAAACTAGCGAGTATCTAGTACACAACCTGAAACGAGATAATTCGTTACTCGTTTAGGAACTGAAGTTGCCGTTTTCCCTAGTCATCTGGACAGCAAACTATGATAATAAAAACATTACGTAACTTAGGTATACGAGTCGGTAATGCGGAACTCAGCACGACCAGATGCATGTTGTTAGCTGTTAGCTATTAGCAGAGTAAAAAGACAAACATCTGACGTAACGTTAGCTAGTTAGTTACCCTTCCGGTTTCAAGCGTGACAATAACAAAACATTAATATGGATATAAATAAAAATAAAAAGGGAAACAGAGGCAACGAATTTTGAGAATGAGCTGTATAAATGACTTCGTGTTGGATAATTATATATACGCAGCGTTTCTGGCGCCGAGTAGAGGTAGCGGATACGCCGAGGATGCCTGGCTGATGGCGCTGAACCACGGCGTGCGGAGTCAAACGGGCCCATCCCGGGGCCCCTTTCCAGTCCTCACCGTGATGTTGCAGTGGATGATCAGGAGCTTTTCCCCAGTCACGTTAAACTGACAGCTGAGTTCATCTGGCTTCCAGTCGATTATGCGAAATCGTTCGTGGTTCGGGTCGAAGATCGACTCCAGAAACTTCAGCTCGGCCTTCAGCCCCGACACCGACATCTTCCGCTCATCTCCGGCCGGATCGCCAGGGGGGAGGGGGAGAAACCGGGACCTAGACACCACGGCCACGCAGTCGAGTCTGACCCGAACCGAGCTGCGCCTGCGACGATGAAGAGGGGAGAAGGACGCCTTTCTAAACCAACGGTTGTCCGCCAAACCCTAATATGGTTAGCCAAATGGCTATCCTGTTAGCGTACCAATAACGCCTAATCGGCTGCCTTTCCGCCTTTTGTTATTGTTGCTCCTGCTTGATATAATAACCGCGCCACTTGCCCGCGTTGTATTTTTCCTTCGAAATAAAAACAGGCAGTGTATATATTTCTTTATACACTGCACGGTGCTACTTTTAAAATGTAAAAGGCGGGCGCGGGCAGCGTGTACAGCACCGATCCGGCACTGAACGGCGGTGCCAGTAGGGGTTTAAAGATGGCGTCGCTGATCGGCCCTGCAGAATACGGGCGCACTATGCGCTGTCACTGGGAAAGAGGCGGAGAGTGTCCGGAGACGCCGACAACTACCGGTGGATACGGCGTGCAGGAGCGCAATCCACTAAAGTGAACCTAACGGCACCGCTGTGTGTATGAAATTCAAATAATTCAAGAACGCAAGCAATGTACTGCTACTGCTAAATGCAGTACGGCACTATAGTCCACTAAATATTTTTCAGTATTCTAACGAGTCAAATCAAAGTTAGCAAACAGCGGGAGATGCGGGCAGTGAAATGAGTTTCCCGAGACGAGACGAGTCAACATGGCTGCGTACCAGGACTGACCGTGGGGAAAATCCATGTTTGGGATTAATTTACAGTTAATTATAACGACTTTCTGTGATCTAAACAAGTGACGTAAAAAATTTTTTCTTTATTGCAAATAGTACAGGACAAGTGAAAATACAACCACATCGTTTTATGTTAAATTTTACAAATTATTTCAAATGAGACCCTTTCACCTTTCATTGGCTATTTTATAGAACTGAATAGACAGTTTATTAACCAACTAGGTTTGTACATACAAAGAACTGACATACCAGATTTTTTTATGGCATAAATTTGTTTGGTGGCATGGTGGTCTCATACCTCCTGATGTTTTGGTTCAAACCCAGGGTGTGTGTAGCTTGTATGTTATTCTTTTGTTTTCTTGACTTTCCTCCAGGTCCAAAAACACGTGGCTCATGTGAATTGTGGAAGCCTGTGTCTTGTCATGAACTGGCACCCAATAAAACATACTGTCTATTTCATGTCACATGCTTCATTCATAAGCTCACAATGACCCAGACAGGAAAAATGAAGGTGAGAGTAAATATATTGTTTCCCCCATAAACCAAACATATTGTACAATCTTACCCAAAATATTGTCACCAGATATATTTAATCACTGTTTCATGGCAGGCATATCCCGGCGCTCTTGAAATACTAGTACCTCACACCTCCCCCAATGCAATACTTGATTTTATCCACGTATTTCAGAATAAAGAAGGCAATGATGCTGTTTTAAAGAGTACTGAGAATTAAGAGATCTGGAATTTTCCGTAAATTATTGTGGAAGACTCCTCTGAGGCCTTGCCATTCTTTTCATATAGTTTTATAGTTTCAACTGTAGATGTCAGTCTTCTCCTTTCTTTGTTCCTGTAAAAGGACGCCTGAGATTTTCAGTTTTAGAATGCCTTTCCCAATGAACGTAATGGCAGCATTTGAATTCCAATTGTCTTTCTCTCGCCTTGAAAATGCTACTGTGCTCTACATTATGAGTGCATGTGGTGGTCCCAAATGATGTTTGGAAATCACAAGGCATGGCAAAAAGTGCATGAACTGATGATGGCAAATGCCACCTGCTCAACCTGCCCAATCCACCATAGAACTGTAAATCCCTTTCAGCACAATGAGGGTTTGTGACTGCTAAAGCCCAGACAGCACTGGAGTATTTGCACATTCCCTCATCAGTCATCCACCCAGCCACAAAAGAAGAGTTCAGAAAGCTGTATTGAAGGAATCGTTTCCTATAATTACACTTCATGCCTGGACAACAACTGGGCACAGAACAATGTGCTAATTATCACTGCTCAAACTCCTATGAAATGCATATATTCCTGGAAAAAAAAGCTGTTTAAATGTACCTCTTTGGTTGTTAGAAAAAAACAAACAATACTTTAGCATTGTTCCACTAACACGATACATTCAAGTAACTGCTCTGTCAGTACTACCTCTTTAATTTCCTATGGAAACACTAAACTAAAATGAGAATATGGTTAATTCCATTATATACAAACAAACAGCATAACCTCCTGAGAACCAAGGAAAAAAGTGTCCTTCAGTTTTAGGTTAATTGTGATTTTCTATGTCTTTGGAGGAAATAAGACATATTTTTTAAAATTTATTTTTATTTTTAATTTCACAGCATGTCCTCTAGTGTACAACAGGAATAAATATGTTTCTTTACATCAGTGAAAAGATATATGCAAAAACAAAATGTCCATTGTAATGGACATAAATGAATGGGTGGGGTCTCAGGAGGATAATGGTGGAATGTATCTTGTTTATGGGTGGGATTTTGTATTGCTGCGAACCTTCACCACACTGCCTCTATCCATCCGTGGCTGAAATACAGATGGTGATTCAGAAAGACTTTTTACATCAACTGTAAGCCTGGGTGAGCCAGTGAAGAATTACTGTGAGCATAGGGCTAGGCCAACAGTGCAGTCCCATCTTTTACAGAAATAGCCTTTGAAGGCAGCCAGACCTTATTGAAACATCTTTCACCATAACATGCATTACCCAGCCCAACTAGGACAGATGCCGAATCATTTACTACTGTCATCACTAAGCGTGTATCTTTGTGTATATGGGGTTTTGAGGCACACTCATATGTAATTCTGATATGTATTTATTGTAGCATATTTCAAAGTCAATCCATCTATTGCGGTCAGGGTCACAGTGGTGCCTGGAGCCTATCCCAGGCAGCATAGGACATAAGGCAGGGGTACCCATTGGATGGGATGCCAGTCCATCACAGGACACATACACACAATCATACACTATGGACAATTTAGAAACACCAATTACCTTAAGTACATATCTTTTGACTACAGTAGGAAATCAGATTATCTAGAGGAAATTAATGTGACAAGGTGAATATGCTGCATACACACACACACACATGTTGGCATGCCTATCTAAATGGGGACCTTCCATTCTTTTCTAAGGGAAAAACCCTATTCCGAGTCATGACACCCTTAACCCCTACCCAGCCCTAACCTTAACTATAAGTAACCAAACAAAATACAAGACTTTTGGCAATTAGGTGGGGTGTGGTTTTGGTTCTAGTGTTTTTTCTCTTCTGTTTTGTATGTTGAACAGTTTTGACGTGTCACTTTGTATGCATCATACCAAAAACCCAATTAAAATTGGTTGCAAAAAAAAGACTTTTGGAATTTTTACTTTTTTGATTGCATTCACAGATTTTTATAAAATCAAGGTAATCAAAATGGGAACCTGAAAAATGTCTCAAAAAGTAGGGGTGACGCAACAACACTGCTACAGTAACTACTGAACCATTATGTCAGAGCGTCAGTCTACGCCGTGTCGTCTAACAAGTGATTCCCTCTCTGTGCTGGTGAAGGTCATCCTTTTGGCAGCTTAGATACAGTTCCTCCCCGTCATGAATCTTCTATGATTGTTCCAGCATGTCCAAAATCAAACTTAAATCACAGACCTTACTGAATTGCTGTAGCCTGTATTGGCCAGTCATGGGGAACTGGGGGTGTACTGCAGGTGAGGTGGCTAGCTATGAATAATTCCCATCTTGCTGACGATTGTGGCAGTTCTCGTTCCCATGATTTAGTGCTGCTAAATCCCGGTGGGGCTGTTTAATTGATTGGCCTCATGCTTTCCAAAATGCTTGTGGCCCAGGGCTGTTTGTCTTTGCGCTGGAACATCCTCAAGGCAGATCCAATCTGTGAAATACTGAATAGTGGCTTATGCCTATGTCACCCATCCTGCCACCACACCTGTGATGACAGGGGCATTTCCAACCCAAAGACTGGATTTCTTAGAGCTGTATTACAAAAAAACCAACACTTGTCACAAAGGGAAGGGTTTCCGTTGGCAGCATGTGAATGGTTTGGTTTTTTGGTTTGGGGGATGAGGTGATTCTGATTGATTTTTTTTTCTTGGGGGTGGGACTAAGTAGGGCTTAGCCACCATATCTTGAGTCTGCAGCCAAACTCTACACAATGCATGTAGTCAGACCCTAAGCATATTAATTAATCTCAAAATATATCAGAATTTCCCTTTCAATTGCAGTTAACCTTCAAAAAAAAGACTGCAGGTTTCTCATAAAAACATCATCTTGTTTTTTTCCAGTTTGGCTCTCCCTTTATTATTGTTGTTCAGGTAAGAATAATACCTTTTGTAAGTCATTGCTTAGCAACAAATAACAAAAAAACATCTGTAAATTGTAATTGTTACTGCAGTAGTGAAATAGTAATTTAAAGACCAGAAATTGTTTAAAATGTAATGCATGTAAATGTGAATGCAGGTACAGATATTTTAGTTTAACTAGACCACCCTTAATAACACACTTAATCTAGAAGAAATATAGTAGCAGGTAGCTTTTGATAAATGACACAAAAACATAAGTATTGCATGGGAGATGGCATGGTAGAACTACTATTTATCAGTACTAGCTTATTCGTTTTGAAATTTTACTTCAGCTTATCTGAAGGTAACTGAGTAGATGTAATTTGGCATATGCTGTACATGTACAGTAAGTATATCTTAGCAATAATCTTCGAGGATCTAGATTTCAGAAATGGAGAGGGGGAGACAAATCCTAAATTAACATATAGATTTTAAAGTTTAACACTTACTTATTTTGACGTGTTTAAACCATTTTGAGGAAGGAAAAATGAATTGGTATTTAATACTGCGGCTAGCTGCAAGAATAGAGGTACATAGGCCTAGGCGAGCACAAGTTCATATTACAGCCTCTCCCTAAATTGTGATGGGATTATGTTCCAATAAACTTGCAAAAATTTTTCAAGGCAAAAATGCATTTTAATACAGTACACCTAACCTAAGTACACCAGTACACCTAGCCTATTGTCTACCTTAAACATGTATAAAACACTTACATTAGCCTACAGTTGGGGAAAAATGTTAACACAAATCCTATTTTAAATTAAAGTGTTGAATATCTCATTTAATTTATTGAATAATGTAATGAAAGTGAAAAACATTTCCCCATCGTAAAGAAGAAATATCATAACATGGACAATCGTAACCTGGGGAGCATCTGTATTGATCCCAAAAAGCAGTTTTTTAATTATGAATGGCGGGAAATGGGGGTCCTGTTGAGGGGACAGTGGTTGGGTCCGAATGCACAGCGTGCCAATACTGCAGCCAGGTGGGAGGCATTAGGCAGACAATTGGCACTATTCCTCTGGGGGAGTGCCTTGCCAAATTTCAGCCAGATGGAGTAGTTAGTGGGAGCCAGGCATGGAAGATTAGGATTGGGCTGACTTTCAACAACTGGTCCAAATCAAAGGTGCTGAAATTTGACAGATGTTTGCTGTGCTGATTCTGGCCAACTGCATTTTGACAATATGAAGATGAATACAATAACGGTCAGAAGCACTTTTACCTCAGACCTTCAGGGTTGGGTGTTTGAATCTCAACCACACTAAGTATGTATGGACTTTGCCCATACTGCATAGGTTTCCCACAAGTGCTCTTGTTTCCTCTAGCATTTGAAAGACGTGCAGTTGGTTAAATTGACATCTATATGATTGTGAGGTGTCCTGGGTGTTCAACTGCTCCAGCCTCATTGCAAGGTCATTCTTATTGCGTAAGCGGTTGGAAGATGGATGGCTGGAGGAATGAATGTGATAGCACTGTTTAATTCACAGCCATGACAGGATACGGAATTATTTGACAGTAGGCACCACATTGGAAAAGAGGGTAAAATTCCATTGCCTCTGTTCCTTGATGCTAAAACCACAGGAACCAACTGCTTTTTAATGAGGTGATGTTTTAGTGGTAAATCGATAACATCTACTCATTGTTGCTGTGTAATTATGCTCGGTCAATCTCAGAGCAAGATGCATTTTGTTGGAACCAGCATTAGCTAATGCACGTTGGCCATTAGAGTTTCCAAATGAAAAATGCAGTATGAAAAGCTGATAGTTCAG